AAATTAAATAAATACAATTATTTATTTATTTATTTATTTATTTATTTATTTATTTATTTATTTATTTATTTATTTATTTATTTATTTGTTATAGGAAGCAGAGAAGGAGAGAAGAAATCTGTGCTCTTCTTATGAGAAGAAAATTCTTAACGAAAGAATTTCTGCTAATAAAACCATAGGCAAAACTATCGTTAAATTACTAGTATGCTGCTGCTGCTGTTGCTGCTGCTGCTGTTGCTGCTGCTGCTGTTGCTGCTGCTGCTGTTGCTGTTGCTGCTGCTGTTGCTGATAATGTTGCTGTGCTGCTGCTGACTATTCTGTCTCTGCTGTATCAAGCATTATGCTGTACGTAGGTAGCTGATTGTGTGTTGTCTATTGGCTATTGGTAATGTTTGCATGCTGCTTCTGCTGCTGCTGTTGCTGCTGCTGTTGCTGTTGCTGCTGCTGCTCAGGCAGCACAAGAAGAAGCAGAGATGCTACAGCAGGGAAGGAAGAGACAAGAAGACGAGCATGAGGCATTAGTACAAGTTGTCCATGAGGCAGACAATAAACGATTCAGTGCTATTCTTGTCCGTACTCTATTAACAAATAAATAAATGAAAAAAGCTGCTGCTGCTGCTGCTGCTGCTGGTGCTGCTGTTGGTGCTGTCGTTATTGTTGTTGCTGCTCCTGCTGCTGCTTCTTCTTCTGAGGCAGAACTGTGCCCTTCTTAATGAATAAGCAATTATTTACTTATTTATTGTATTTATAATTAATTAATTAATTAATTTATTTATTTATTTATTTATTTATGCAGGAGAAGTTGCATGCAATAGAAATGCAAAATCGTTTGTTACATAAGAGAGAAGAATTTTGGCATAAATTAACAAAGGTAAAAAAAAAGAGAAAAAAAAAAATAATTTTTTTTTTCTTTTTTTTTCTTCTTTTTTTCTTCTCTTTTTTTGTTATTAAATGTATAATTATATATTATTTATTATTTATTAATTTATTTTTCTTATTTGTTTATCTATTTAGGCATTATCTACTCAATTAACTAAACCGTCAGAGTGTATACAACAATCTATACAAGATTTATGGGCACAACTTATAGGATCTAAGGCATTAATAGAGACAAATAAATTAATTAATAATTTATTTATTACCCCTAATAATTTATTATTAATTAATAAACATAATATACATCAAGAAGAAGGAGATAATACTACAAGAATATCATTCACAAGACAGACTAGTAGTGCAGCTGCATCTGCAGCAGCAGCAAATGCACCAGCAGCAGCAGCAAAGCCAGCTGGTCGCCTGTTGTCCAGATTCACCAGCAGAAATCAGAGCAGCACAGCAGCAGCAGCAGCAGCAGCAGCAGCAGCAGGAACAGCAGGAGGAGGAACAACGACAAGGACTACTGCCAAGACGCGCGGTGCTTGTCCTGCTCCGCAGGGACGTACGTCTCGAAGTACAGGCGCCGCAACAGCTGCCTCTAATACTGCAGCAGCAGCAGCAGCAGCAGCAGCAGCAACAGCAACAGCAGCAACAGCAGCAACAGCAGCAGCAGCAGCAGCAGATATGTGGAGTGCGGATGATTCCTTCACTCGCTGTTTGCAAGAGATTTGCTCCCATAGTGAAGAAGCAGCAGACTGCAGCAGCAGCAACAGCAGCAGCAACAGCAGCAGCAGCAGCAGCAGCAAAGGGAGGTCAGCTACTGAACCTCATGATGCCTCTAGTGAATCCGATGAAGGAGAAGAAGGAGAAGAAGGAGAAGAAGGAAAAAAAGAAGAAAAAAAAAGAAGAAATAAATTACCTAATGATTGGCTATATATCCTTAAATTAATGACACAAGAGGCAACAGCATTACTAAGAAAACACAAAGAAATTAAAGAAAAAGAAGTAAGCAAGGAACAGCAGCAGCAGCACCAGCTGCAGCAGCAGCAGCTGCAGCAGCTGCAGCAGCAGCAGCAGCAGCAACTATCTATATCTATATTCTTAGCTTGTTGCTATTCTCCTTTGTCTCCTCTTTATTCCTCTTTATTCATCAGCAATTAAGAGGCAACTACGGGGCCCCTACGGGGCCCCTTGCTTTATAATTTATAATAAATAAATAAATAAATAAATAAATAAATAAATAAATAAATAAATAAATAAATAAATAAATAAATAATAAATAAAATATATATTTATTTTATTTATACAAATATATTTTTTTTCTTTTTTTTTTCTGCGTTTTTTGTTGCAGATTGAGGAGTTGAAGAAAGAGAGAGAAGGACAGATGGAGAAAAATAAAAAGGCAAGAAAAAAAAAAAAATAAATAAATAAATATAAATAAGAATAATAATAATGTTATTCTTTATATTTATTCTTCTTAATTATATTATTTATTTATTTATTTATTTATTTATTTATTTATTTATTTATTTATTTTTTGCCTGCAGCTAACGATGCAACTGACGGATATTCAAGTTCAATGCAAATCGTTAAGAGAGCAGCACGAGTTTCTGCAGCAACAGGTCCTTATTTATTTATTTATTTATTTAATTTATTTATTTATTTATTTTATATTCTTGTTTATTTATTTAAATATTAATCATAATAATAGCAACATAAATAATACATAATATAAAGAAAATTGGGGTTTTTTTGTGTACCTTTGCTGCTAGTGCTGCTGCTAGTGCTGCTGTCTTTTTTTTTTTCCTGCTTGTGTGCATGCAGCACCAATTGGCTCTTGAGGCATTAAATAGAGCGCATGCAGAGAGAGCAAATACAGAGAAAATAAAAAAAGAAATAGAGGAAGAATTACAGATAAAAATATCTAATATTCGTCTTAGCGAGAAAGAAGCAAAAAAAATTATTTCTGCTGTTGCTATGCATGCAGCAAATGTACCTTATATACAAACTTTATGTAATTCTTTCTTAACTGCAGCACCAATAACAGCAGCAGAAGCAGCAGCAGCAGCAGCAGCAGCTGTTGCTGCTGGTGCTGGTGCTAAGGGAGAGAGCTACGAAGAGACGCAGAGCTATACTGATGCATGCGCGAACAGCAGCTCTGCTGCTAATGACATTAAGGAGGAAAGCAACATAAAGAAAAAGGAAGAAAAAGAAGAAAAAGAAGAAAAAGAAGAAAAAGAAGAAAAAGAAGAAAAAAGGAAGGAAAATACATTATGCCCGATGCATAGAGAGGAAATACGACGAGCATTTAGACGTCATCGTCTATCTGCTGCTGCTGCTGCTGCTGCTGCTGCTGCTGCTGCTGCTGCTTCTGCCTCCCCCTCTCCTTCTCCTCCACAGACGCAACGTCTAACCTCGAGGTTTGCTACAAAAGTCCAAGGAAAAGACAGCAGCAGAAGCAGCAACTACAGCAGCAACTGCAGCACCAGCAGGGAGGATACTGAGCTTCCCCTCTCTCCTCCGCAGCAGAGAAGACCTCCGAGTGTACGTCGACCTCAGGTAGATGTTGCTGCTGCTAATGGTGCAGTTAGTCCTACTCTTCCTTCCCCGCTGCAGGGCGAGCAGCAGAGGCAGCAGCTGCAGCAGCAGCAGCAGCAGCGGGAGGGAGGGTCTGGATACCTGCAACGAGGACCAAACACTTCAGCAGCAGCAGGAGCAGCAGCAGCAGCAGCAGGAGCAGCAGGAGCAAGTCCAATGACGTCTCCTGCCTCATGGAATGAAGGTCAAGGGTCTACAGAGGATGTAGACAGCAGCAGCAGCAGGAGCAGCAGCCGCATCAACAGCAGCAGCGGCAACAGCAGCACATCTTTCTGCCCAGAAGAATTAAGTCGTGTATCTAGTACTGCCCTCCCTACCCCTCGCTCTCCCCCTCGTGCTGCACTAGCTCCTCTTGTTTCTCCTTCTCGTCTTGTGCAGGCTCTGCGCATGCAGGCCACACCAGCAGCGGCCCCAAGCTGGCGCAGCAACAGCAGCAACGGCAGTGGTGGCAGCAGCAGCGGCAGCGGAGGCAGCAGCAGCAGCAACTACAGCGGGAGGAGCAGCATGGAGAAGACGATGCAACCTCAGAAGCAGCAGCAGCAACAAGAACAATTAAATAAAAAAGAGCAGCAAATAGACAAACTAAGAGAAAGCAAGACAGAGGGTACAGCAGCAGACGTCCTATTGAGCAGCAGACGACCGAGCACAGCAAGGGCGAAAGAATCCTTCGCAGCAGCAGCAGCAACAGCAGCAGCAGCAACAGCAGCAGCAGCAGCAGATGACACTGTCGAGCAGCAGAAGGGTGGAGGTAACTGTATAGAGGAGAAGAACAAGAGGGAAGAAGAGGAGAAGATTACTACTAGCCGCAAGCAGCAGAGCAGAGCAGCAGCAGAAAAGGCATGGGAAACATTTGTTGCAGAGTACAGACACCCGAATCGTGTGCTGCAGCAGCCTGTCTTCTCTCCTAGCAGCAAACGCATGCAGGCATGGCAGGAGAGAGGGGGGACGCATAGCAGCAGCAGCGGCAGCAGCAGCGGTGGCAGCAGCAGCAGGGAGACCATACAGTCTACCCTATCTCCTCAGGGCGTAGAGGAAGGAGAGGCAGCAGTAGCAGCAGCATTACTGCGTCTGCAACACCAGCAGAAGCACCATCACCTGCTGCAGCAGCACCAGCAGCAGAAACAGCAGCAGCAGCAGCAACAGCAGCAGCAGCAGCAGCAGCGAGGGGCTGTCCTATACCCAGAAACACGGGAGTCAACAGATAGCGGACTCGAAGAAGTTCTGCACTTAGAGCGTCAGTTGTATGAGGAGGAGGAAGGAGGGGAATTCCCTCCTATAGAGTCCGAGGAGCATGCAGCAGCAGAAGCAGCAGCAGCAGCAGCAGAAGAAGAGGAGGAAGAAGAAGAAGAAGTTGATGAATTGTATGGTGCTGATGATTCTTATCAACTTGGGCTCTCTGCCTCGGCATTCCTTAGACGTCTAGGTACCCAACTAGAGAACCGTATGCGGGTTACGTCTAAGAAACCATCAGCATTGAATTGAGACTTTTGCAGGGTAATACATGATTAAATATGTATATTTATTCATTAATTAGTTATTTATTCTATTTATTTGTTTATCTATTCAAAAAAAAAGAAAGAAAACACGAAAAAATTAAGAAAATTCGTACCTAGGGAGGCCAGGACGAGGCATGGGTGCTGAGCAATGGAGGAATTGAATGAATTGTTTTTAAATATATTTTTATTTTATTTATAAAATATTTTATTTATAAAATAAAAATAATTAATTGCTGTGGTGTACAGGCAGCGAAAAAAGAGAAGGCAACAGTGTGTAGTTAATACAATTCTGCGTAGATATTAATTTCTGTTGTTTCTCTTTTTCTTTTTTCTTGTTTAAATTGAATAATACTTTGTTTCCCGTCTCTGCGTCATTAGACGGACAAAAAAGTATTTTAATTGTTTTAACTTTTGTTTTTAATCTTTTCCCCTTAATTCTCTTTGCCTTTTGTGCATGCACGAGTAGGCGGTTGTATAGAATCTATATAAAAGAGGAGTAAGAACTCCTGACCTAACTGCTCTACTGAACTGCCAATGAGTTAGAGTATATTTATTAATATTCTTCTTTATAGTTAGTTGCAAAAGTGCAAAAAAAACAACGAAAATTTAGGAGGTTGCTCCTCTGCATGCAGCAGCGCCTCCACGTAACAACAACCTGCGTTGTAATTGGCAGACGAAGGCAGAGAGCGGCGAGGTATCGTCTGTTAATTAGTAATTTAATGCATATTTCTCTTACTTTCCTGAATATAATTGGGAATAATGACTTATAATATATATTAAAGCCAATTTATTCCTAAAAAAATATTATTTATGCTGAAATATTGCGTGTCGGGGAGAGCTGTGGCTGGTCCAATGGTCGGCAGCGCGGGGAGGGAGGGCAGCGCTACTTTTCTTATATCGGTTAATTCTCAACAAAAAGGGTTAAATAAGCCATAAAATATTCATTGAAGACACTAGTTCCTTTAAAAGAAAGAATAATGCCTAGACTTGGGCATACTCGACAAATTGCTGCATGCAGTTTGCTGCTGTAAGCTTCGGGTGGTGCGTAGAGGGGTCCTCCGTCTGGCTTTTTTTGTGGTTGTCTTCTTGCATAATTTTGGGGCAATTCTTCATTTAATTCTCAGTTTAGCCCATTTACTTTGGTGTTTTGTTTTGTTTGTCTGTTTCTATATTTAAGGGAAGTCCCTTTGATGCATTTAACCCCTCATTTCCGCCGCTTTTCTTCTGCATGAGCTGGAGCGCAACGGCGTCAACAACGCCAACGGATGGTGTGAATATCAGTAAATAGTGACAACAAAGAGCTCTACAAGAGCACGCATTAAGTAAAACGTCGTTTATTCTTCATTTTTTGCTTCTAGGGCATTTGTGGCCTAGGCTGTACGCGTACGGATCCCAGGGAAAAGCTCACCCAACGCGTCGCCCGAAGGCTTCAGCTCGCGATTTTTCTTCTCTGTTCTTCAGTTTTGTTTTGCTTGTCCACGTTACGGAACATAATAATTAAGTACGAATAGTAATAACGCAGAAAAAACAACAGCAACACCATCAAGAGTATACGAGAGTACCCAAGGCCCGCAAGAAGTAAACGCGCAGCAGCACGAGAGAGAGGCAGCAGCAGGAAGAGCACCAGGAGTATCAGTAGGCAACGGCCAAAGGAGGACGGGCCAGCAATAGAAAGATCAGCAGAATTGCCAGTAGGCAACACTGGCAGCAGCAAAGGGCAGCAACAGAAAGAGCAGCAGCAGCAGAATCAGTAGCAGCGCCATCAGCAACTACGACAGCAATAACAACACGATACTATTATCAGGAGAAGAAGCAGGGAGCAACGACAACAGCTGAAGCAACTCAGAGCACCCGTCCATTAGTAGCAACATCAGCATCAGCATCAACAGCATTAACAGCAGCAGCAGCAACAGCAGCAGCAGCAGCAAGAGGAGGTGTGAATAAGAAGTAGTAATACTATTAAAGATGGCTACTGGAGGACCTCTAGACGAGCGTTGGTTATTTGAGAGTGAAGAATTAAAACCAACAGCCATCGATCCACGCAAACATCTCCATTATATCGAAATCTCCGAAAATGGACTTGTAGCTACTTTTGTTGGTAGAGGGGAGTACACGGATGTGGGGGTAAGGGTTTAGGGTTTAGGGTTTAGGGTTTAGGGTTTAGGGTTTAGAAGACGGTGTTTATGTTGGTTTGGAGTTAGGGTATAATGTGTAGGGTTGAGCAGTTATTGTTTTATGTTTGGGGTTTATTTATTTCCCCTTCCCTTCCTTTGTTTCGTCTTTTTTTGTTGTATTTATTTCTTTTATTTATAGGCTGTACAGGCAGATAAGCCTTTGCCTCGACGCTGCTCAGTCGCATATTTTGAAGTAAAAGTCTTAGAAGCGTCAAGTTCTCGCGCTGCTGTTTGTATCGGCCTGTCGCCGTCTTCTGCTCTTCTCAACAGACCCCCAGGACTGGACGCAGGGTCTGTTTACTTCCTCCTTTCTCTCTAGACTTCTTTACTTTCTTCTTTCTCTTTGTTATTTTTATTGTACCTATTCGTCTTATTGTTCTTATTGTCCTTATTATGCTCGTTGCTTTCCTTGTTCTTGACGTGTGCAGGTCAGTGGGTTACCGCGGGGAAGACGGCTATCAGCAGAGCCGCCATGCGATAGTAGAGGCTGCTGCTTATGAGGCCTTTGGTCCTCCTTTTGGTCGTGGGGATATAGTAGGATGCGGCATCATTAATTCTTCTCAAGGAGTATTTTTTACTAAAAATGGGGCTTTCTTGGGGCATGCAAGCAAAGCCTCCCCTGTTGCAGATTTATATCCTACTGCTAGCCTCAAACATACGGGAAATTCTATTCGAATGAACTTCTCGGGACCCTTCATCTTCAACCTCCGCCTCCTCCTCCACGTCCGTTGAGCTGTCTGCACACCCAAAAATGCACCACTAAATTTCCCCCCAGTGTATACACCATAGAAACGGACAAGAAGCAAGCAGCACTTCAAAATACAAATGCACACAATCCACACTTACTTACAGTATACGATTTACGTGTTTGAACATTTAGTCACATTCCTGCTCACCGAGATCTGTTTGGGACCAGGAAATTAGGGTTTAGGGTTTAGGGTTTAGGGTATGTGGCTGCAGCGTCAGCTGATGGAGGAACGGCAGCTAATCCGACAGGAGCAGCTGCCACCCGAAGCCCTTACTTCGCTTGTCCGCTCGTATTTGCTACACAGCGGCTTCGAGAGAACCCTCAAAGCGTTCAATGAGGCTGTGGGGAAACCAAAAGGCAAACGTCCGTCCAAACCCCAAACAATAAAATCTAAACCCTAGCTTTGTCCTATTATCCCCTGCTTAAGTAATGAGGCCTTGTTGGGGAGAATGGCGTAGATGGGGTTAACCGGAAGGTTTGCAATGAAGACATACCAGAGGAGTTGAGGGATTAGGGTTTTCTTGCATTTTTTTATTGTGGCGTTTTCGTGCTTTCTTTGTAATACAGAAAAAAGACATAAGCAAGGCAACGCCCCAGTCAACGCAGTTTCTTCGAGCCTCAAAGACAGCCCCAGGAGCAAGAATAACAGCAGCAGCTGCAACAATAACAACCATAGCAACACCACCAATAACAACCACAGCAACAGCAACGGCAGCAGCAACAACAACAGCAACAGCAGCAGAGAAAACAGCAGCAGTGTTATCAATCCAAGCAATGGCAGAGAAGACAAAGACGATGAAAAGAATGCAGGAGAGACAAAAGAGGCAGCAGAAACAGCCGTAGCAGCAGAGGGAGAAGAAACCACGCCATTGGCGTCAGCATACCAAAGCAGTGATGAGGTAAGGAATATTAATGTTTCCTTGTTCTTTGCTTCTCTTTTAATTCTTTTTATATAAGGGTTTATAGTTTGTTGGCGCAGTGTTCTCAACTCTTATTGCCTGCTCTAATGCCGCTTTCCTCATCTACGTTTGTTAAGGGTGGCTTGTATTAAGTGTGGGCCTTGTTTGATGCTATCAGGAAGGAGAAAAAGAAGAAAGAGAATGCATATTAACGGTGTGGCCACCTGCAGTGCCACAGCGACTATCTGCATCTTTAACACAGCGGTCATGTAAGGAGGGAAATTTTCGTTCTTTTTCTGTTTGTGTGTTTCCTTTGCTTCCTATTCCTTTCTCTTCTTAGCATGCATCTTGCATTTTGCATCCTCGTGCCTTCTTGCATCCAGCCGTTTCCATTCTTTTTCTTGTTCCTTTCGCTTTTCTTGTGTACACAGCTGAATTTTTGCCTTCCTTTCCACTTAGCATTAATTCAAGTATAGTGGAGGAGTCGGATGCTGCTGCCGCTCGTTTTTCTGCTGCGATTCTGCTGTAGTGGTCATGCAGGCAATAATGGAGGGCAACATTCCTGAGGCCGTTTCTCTTTTGAATGTTCATTTTCCTCTTGTAATGGCCCCTTCTCATGTACGAAAAAGTGCAACACCACATTAGCAAGGAGAAAAACAAAAGGACGGGAAAGTGCTTTACTGTGCATATATGTATGCATGCAGCGTGTGCATAAACGTGATTTCGTGCAGACAGCGAGCGTTGTCTCATTGCCTATGGCCACCATATGTTTTGTTTGTATTTATCCGTGTAATCGGTGTTGCTTCCTTACTGCACAAGTAAATGGACCTGAGGTTTTGGTGGGCACGTGAGGTTAAGCTGACGCTAGGACGGAGAGCAATTAAGTGGTTGATGTATTTTTTGTCGAATTCTAAGTCAACTAAATAGTCAAGGAGATAAATAATTAATGATTTAATTAGTAATAGTGTCCATGGATAGTGAATTAATTACGTAATATGTGGATAAATGCGATACGGCGATGACACCTTCCGTGGCGTAGACACCAAATCGTCGTTTCTCTGCTTACCCAAGGCATTAACCAATTGGCACATTTATTTGTAATGCAGTTTAGTCAGTATAATTAACTAAATTAATTGATTAATCGAACGCGTGTGTACCTGCAGGACGACGCCTGCTCGTTGGCCCGCGTGTTGCTGTTGAGTCAGGAAGTTGTGGAGGCTTTGAGGCCTCCAAAGAAGGATTTGAAGAGTGCCATTTCGTGCATGAAGCAAAATATATCCCCTTTAATGCGGGAAGTTTCTCCTCTTCTTCAAAAAGTAGCCAGTGTACGCGGAGCTGTGGCGGGGGCATATCCGGCGAGAGAGAACGGGCTGCAATCTCTCACGATAACCCCTAGTTCCTAGACCCTAATCCGTAGAACGTAAACTCGTCAAGCACAACATGAAAAGGAAGAGATCTAACAGACGGATCAACCGCCACAGACGCAGAGGGAACACACGGCAAACAGACAGAGGGGCACAAACAGGCAACGAGACACCCTGTAGAGACCCAAGAGATACAATGTACCATTTAGAGGGAGACAGCAACATGAAACTGTCGTCGAAGCGAATAAAGAATACAAGCCTATCAGTGCAGTTTACAAAAATAACGCAAAAAGCAAAAAAGGCTGTGCGGGGTGTGGGGTTTGTATCTTGTGCATTCCGTTTACAATACCGCCTGCTTAGTTTGATTTAGGGCGTTTAGGTTTCTATCTTCGTTCCATGCTTTTGCTTCGTTGCATTCTTTGCTGTAATGTAGGTGCTTGAAGGAAACAAGGAGGCAACTGCAGTTCCTTCTTGTGCGTATCTCTGTGTGAATGTTTTCAAGCATTATCTTTTGATTGTTTAATTTACAATTAGCTTTTTATTATTTGCATCTTTATTGCAGGAATGTTTGGGCATCTTGGCTTACGAAGATCCAACGGACAGTCCCGTGGCCCACGTCTTCCACTTAAGCAGACGTTCTTTAACGGCAACGGCAGTCAACCGGAGCATCTTAAGTAATTCTTTATAGCCTTTTAAATTTAAATATCCAAATAGACATATTCGTCATGTTTATATATATGTTGCTAAGCATCCTCTCAATGCGTCATATTTGTGTTAAAATGCAGAAAAACATCTACATGTTGCGGTATGGTCGCCCTTAGAGTTGCTCGTCCGCCACCTTGTAGTTTGCAGGTAAGGAAGGTGCAAAAATGTTGTTGTTAAAAAGGGTCATTAAAATGATTCATTAATTAGTATCAAGATGGGAATGGCTCTGAGTTTGTTTTCTAGTGCGTAGAAGGGTCTTTGCGTAGCCTCAATCCATGCAGCAGACGTTTATTGGTTTTGTTAACAATCTTCGGAAGGAAATCTAAGACAAAGTCCCCGTGGGAAAGACGAATATTTTTAACAAATGCATTTTGCTTTATTATTGTTACTTTGTCTTGTTTTGCTCTATTGTAATAACAATTTCTTCCTTATTTGCTTGCCGTTTTTTGTGTTTGCTGTTCCCATGCCGCTGTTTGCATGTTTATTATAATCGATTTCTCACCTTATTTGGTGGAATGTTTTCTATTTATTCAATATTTGTTTATTTAGTTATTTAATTTTTATTTATTTACTTATATATTATTGATCGTGTGCTGTGCGGCCTACAGACAGGTGCTACGCACTCTGGGAGGATCTCGCGGCCCAATACCTTCGTCCCGGGAGTTTGCTTATCCTTTGCCGCTAAGACAGACAATAGAAGCATTAGAAGCAGAATTACTTTAGTGCACTTGTCTCCACTATTATATTCTCTCTTTTGCAGTATCTAATGCATTTCCTCACGTATTGTTTGTCGGTACACCATAAGGCTTTCTCCATTAAACAAAAAGGAGTTACTTTTCTCTTCGCCGGCGTTGAAAGATACACGATGAAAGATACATACAAAACAGGGAAACACGGCACATAGCTGGTTGTTCTCTTCTTAGCTCTACCTTTATCCCTACCCCGCAATCTTCGCCCAAGAGCTGTGTAGTAGAAATATTTAACAACTATTTCGACTTAGTTCTCCGAATTGTATTTAAATTCCGTATACACATGAGAAGCAACTGTGTTTGTCCTCAACATATGGGAGTTGGTGTAGCATCCCGCAAGCACAAGCGCGTGGGATGGTTGTGTAGTACTGTGGGCGTAACTAGTTTATGCCGTAGAAGTTTATGTAGAGTTTTGGCTCATAAGCCTTGTCGTTGCCTTTTAGCATCAATATGCCTTTGTTTTACGTAATGACTTAGTGATTTTATTGAGTGTTTAGCGGGGAAAATGTGTCGCAGCACGAGAATTCGTGCAGGCGTGGTGGTTGTGAGGAGGTGCACAGGTGCGGTACAACTGGGGCGGGAAAATGGGGGTATTTTATTATATTCCTCTAGAAATACAAAGTATGTAGAGAATACTAGTAAAATACAAAACATATTACTACTTTTTACCTAGGCAAATTAAGCAATCAGGCACTCGTTAACAGACTGGGGACACTCACACGACGGTTGCCGCTGCGACCAGGGCCGGGCGCAGACCTGGGGCGCATGCGGCCAATCCTTGGGTTTGTTCTTTCGAGATTACTACATTAAATTACCCAGACAAATCCTTAGTTGGGATAAATCGAAATATATAAAAAGACGGCCAAACGTAACCGTACGTTTGCCGGTTCCCCCCTGCATTTGAATGGTTATATAGCAGACCGTCGCGGGGGTTGTTTCCGTTGGCGCCCAAAGTTGCAAACTGCAACTGGGGAGAGTTGGTTTGGATTTAAAATTTGTTTTTCTAATTAAATTGTCTTTTTTACTTTCCTTTTAGAACAGAAGGTTGTAGGGAAATCCCCCTCTCCCTACTTGCAGATCGTGTTTGCGTGCACTGTCTGTCGCGGCTCGGTTTCACGTGCACGATGAAGTTCTTGTGGCTTTTGCAACTATGCTGCTGCATTTACTTAGCTCTAGCAGCAGCTTCTCCCTCCAAAGCGAGCAAAGTATCTTCTGGTGCCGTTAAAGAGGGCAGTAACAGCCCTTTACTTGATGAATCCGGCAGGTCTAACGCAAAGGCGCGGGTGTCGGCAGCAGGAGGACCTCGAGTTGTCTCGAGGGAGAAAATCACAAAAAAAGAAATTCTTGGCCTCTTAGGAGGAGTTGCTGTCGTCTTTATCTTCTTATTTATTGGCCTTTTTATCCGACGACGCATGCACAAAGAAGATGCCAAAGTTGCACATGACGTGGTTCGTTCCCATCAATTCCCTCTCTTACCTCCCCCGGTAGACCCCTCCTTCCCTATTTAGATAATTGGGGCTGGATAGCATATGCATGCAGCTTTACATTTAGTCGCTAAATTCCCAACACTACACTACAGGAAAAATAAATCCTAAATCCTAAACCCTAAACCCCACAATAGACCACAGTACACCACAACTAGGGTTTAGGGTTTTCTTTGCGGTTTGCCTGCAGGAGTTGGATTATGCGTCATTTATGGATGTATGTTTCTTAAGGAAATATAAAGCAGCAAAACATAAACAAAGATAAATAAGACAAGAAATAGATAATTATATAATTATAATTATGTGCTTCTTCTTGCTTGCTTGTTAAGGTTTCTGTTCTTATGAATCTTTGAGCCTTATACAGAGAGAAGTGCGTCGGCATAAACCCTAAACCCTAAACCCTAAACCCTACAACCCTTATATTCCTTAATCCCTAAACCACCGTAATTAATGCTAAACCCTAAACCCTTAAGTCCCTTCTTCCTGCAGCTAAACCCTAATAATTTAGGGGTCTGGATGTTTCTTCTTCTGCCTCTTACCTGTTAATCGCAAGAAAGTAAGTCCCCAACTTGTTGCCTGTTCCTGCTAGAAAAAGAAACAAAATTGAGGGTTTAGGGTTTAGGGTTTAGGGTTTAGGGGGTTATATAGGTTTTTACCGTGTGACTACAAGCGCGTATGCTACATGCAGCAGCAGCATCTCCTTTTGCATTGAGGTGTATAGGCAGGTATAAATATAAATATATAATTATATAAACCCTAATAAAGGGGGAATAAATAGTTATAAATATCCATGGGGGGCAACAGATAGTGAGCATTATCTCTTGATTTCCTCCTCCTGCCTCTCTTGCAGCAGCAGCTGCTGCTGCTGCTGCTGCTGCTGCTGACTGGGTTGTATATCCAGCTGCTGCTGCTGCTGCTGCTGCTGCTGGGGGAAAACAGGAAGTATGTATTTAAATTGTAATAAGAGGAAGAAAAGAAAGAAAAAAAAAACACAAATAGATAAACGTTAAGGACAGCCTTTTTTTTTGCTTTTGTTTGTTCCTTATACGGATTATTTTCCTTGGTTAATTATATTAATTAATTAATTAATTAATTAACTAATTATTTTTTTATTTATATTATATTTATTATTCCTTATTTTGTTTAATTTATTAGTTTGTCTGTATAATTAATACAGCTTGTGTGTCTTTCTTCCCTTTTTTCTTTTTTTATATATAATTAACATATAAATATATATTATTAACAATTAATAAATATATTAATTAAATATAATTCTTTTTATCTATTTATTTTATTGCTATTTTATACAAACAATTCTTTTATTAAAGAACAAAAAGCAAAAAAAAGGAAGAAAAACGTCATTAATTACTTGCTGCATGCAGGTAGTAAGGAGAAAATTTGCATGCATGCATGCATGCATGCATGCATGCATTATATGTCTTATTTATTCTTGTATATAATAAATAATTATTTATTTATTTTAATAATAATATTAATAATAAAATAGATTATTTATATACTTTATTATTATTCTTTTTTTGTGTATTAGGAAGTGAGTACAAACCCACATAGCTAAACCCTATAAACCCTAAACCCTAAACCCTAAACCCTAAACCCTTTTTTTTTATCTCTCTAACAAAGAAAGGGTTTAGCAATTGTTTGTATTGTGTATTGTATATGTATATATACATATTATATGCATATATTATTAGTGCATTTCTTTTGTTTTGTTATGCAGAGGGTGCGCATGCATTATTATTTATGCTTAGCTAATTGCATGCAATTCTTCTATTAATTAATAATATATTAATTATATATATTAATTATATATATTAATTATATATATTAATTGTTGTATTTATTATTAATTAAATAAATCGTTATTAGTGTTTAATAACGAGGTGTACATACACCTCAACACATACACAGATCGTACGTCTACAAGGGAGCACGAATTATTAAATATTTAATTAATTAATTATATTATTTATATAAATAATATAATAAATATTTGTATTATATATTACAACAAAGGCAGCAACAAAGAGGGAAAAAGGAACAAAAGGCTCTCCTTTGCATGCAGGCTGTGAGTCTCCATCATAACAGCGCTGCTGATGCTGCTGCTGCTGCTGCTGCTGCTGCTGCTGACAAGAAGGGTTTCTCTTGATCATACCCATATTTAGCTAGCTAGCTAGCTAGCTAGCTAGCTAGCCGGCTAATTGGTTAGGGAGAGTAAGGGGGGTGGCTGTTTGTGTTTAGCAAGTACGAAGGAGAAATTTGTTTAGCATATATACCTCCTCTAAACCCTAAACCCTAAACCCTAAACCCTAATTTGCTTCCTCCTTATGATGAATTTCTAACCAAGGGAGTAAGCAAAAAACCTCAGAGATACACACAGCAGCAGCTAGCTGTAGATATCTGCAGCAATATATATATATATATGTATATATATATATT